AAGCTTTGAAGCCAATTGCAGTAATTTTAATTTTCCCAGATAAAGTTCATACTCAGAGTTGGTTTTATTTGCCCCAGATCTTTCTGGGAATGAGGTATGTGATATAAGTAAATTTAAAGTACTGCATTTTAAATTACAATTTTGGGATTTCTTACCTATAAGTAGTTTATGTATTTCTAAACATATGGGAAATACGCAGTTTTAACCAAAAATAGCTATAATGTTGTACCTGCAATTTAGTGCCTTAGTAGTATAATGTATAACCTATTGTGATTTCTTTTCAAATATCAGGTGTCCTAGTTGCCTATGAAGGCTTGCCACTTCATCTTGCACTGTTCCCCAAACTTTGGACTGAGCTATGCCAGACTCAGGTAAAGCAAATGAATTTTAGATGATTTGGTCTTTAATCTCATCTGACCAAGTGGTAAAGAATTTTAGAAACAAAGGGTTGAAAACTGGATATATTTTAGTTTATGGAAATGTTAGCTATTAAACAGCTTCTAGTTTCCCTTTGAGGTTTTTTTTTCTTTAGATTTGTATCACAGAGGATAATAAGTTGCTTACAAATGAATTTTTTTTTTTTTTTTGGTACCAGGGATCAAACTCTGGACCTTGCTCTTGCGAGGCAGGCGCCAGAACCACTGAGCTAAATCCCCAGCCTTTATAAATGAATTTCTTATCCATAGGTCAATACCAGCAGTTGTAGGGGAAAAGTCCAAACCAGGAAGATAGTAGGGAGCAGTCCCTTCTGCCTCTCACCTCTTCATCCTCTTTGTTGTCATTTAACTATTCCTGGTCTGTCGTTTGTCAGGGGTCCGTGCATTTGTTTTCTTATCAATAGTCTAATAGAACAGGATACCTCAATATCTAAGAGCCAACTCCTTAGAATAAAGTGGGCATATAAATAATGCCTGTTAAATTGCAGAGGGAGAAGGGACTTAGATCTGGCCTCAAGAATCCCCAGTCAAACCTTTAAAATGTGAAGAAGAAAAAAAAAAAGTATTGTTTCTGCCTAGTTACATCTGCCCTGTGCCAGAGGAAGATATGAGTTTGTTAACCTTCCCTGGGTACAAATCTTTTCACACATGATAGTTTCTGAAGTAATTCAAGTCAGGCCTGGTGTATTACTAGGTAGTAGAAAGCTCTGTATATTCTGCTCAGTGTCACACTATACTCTAATGGTTGTTTCTATCCTTTTCACAAATTGTAATACATTATATAATGGTTGGTTGTTGTTTTTTTTTAAGCTAAATAGTCCATTCAGTAAATTGGGTCTGCTTTCCCCCTCTGCTGCTGCTATTCTTTTTATAGACAAGAGAGATGTCCCAAGCACTAAGAATCTGAAGACCTGGGCCCTGGTTGTACTCTACTTCTAAGTTCTTGGATGACCTTGAGTAATTTACTTAAAATTGCTCACTTTAATAGACATTTATATATGGTATCTAAAATTTACCCCATTTTTCAGTTTTTTCCATATAAATTAGTAATACATGATTAAAGCACAAATATAAATCTAGGGAGTACAGTATATATGTTTAAGGACATACTACTTGTGTTTAAGAGCCATGACCATTTGACAACAGGAAAACTAAATTTTAGTACAATTTCCATATGTTGGGACCCACTGATTCTGTAAGATAGGAAAAGAGGTTGCTATTTACTTTTTAATTTATTGGGGGTGGGGTATTTGCCAAAAACTTAATTTGCTAATGAGACCATAAACAGTTTCGCCTATTTTAGAGTATACAGTATCCTTAAAATTTGTATTTTCTCTACACATGGTTTGGTTACATTAATTACGCATCATTTGGTCCCCTGAAAACATTCTCATCCTATTAGCCTTCTATTTTAGTCCTTATTAACTCTCCATGCTGGGTAATAAGGCTGCATTTCTTTTAAAGCCTTTTTGTTCAGTTTTGCTATTCAGTGTCTCCCCTCAATCCTGCCTATAAAGTCCAGATGAGTAGTGATGTAGTGCATGGGGAGAATAGTTGCTGTCACCAAAAGTTGAATAGATTGAGTTGGAAGTGGCTTTAGAATTTAAAATGTCCAGTCCATTCAGATGTCCAACCCTAAGTATTTAAGTCCTCCATCACTTCAGTGCTCAACTATCAGTGCTTCTTTTCCCCACTTAGTCTGCTATGTCCAAAAACTGCATCAAGCTTCTGTGCGAAGATCCTGTTTTTGCAGAATACATTAAATGTATCCTAATGGATGAAAGAACTTTTCTAAACAACAACATTGTCTACACATTCATGACACATTTCCTTCTAAAGGTATGTAGTACTTCAGAAATTTAAGTGTACTGTTTGCAGTTAATTTATGTTTTCATTATGTTGGTCTTTTGATGTTTTTGTAAATCATCTTTTTCAGGTTCAAAGTCAAGTGTTTTCTGAAGCAAACTGTGCCAACTTGATCAACACCCTAATTACAAACTTGATAAATCAGTATCAGAATCTACAATCTGATTTCACCAACCGAGTTGAAATTTCCAAAGCAAGTGCTTCCTTAAATGGGGTAAGAACTGTGCCCAAACTTCGAAACTTAGCTTAAATTAGTTCTACATTTTGGCCTTCATGATTTTACTATCCTGCCATCAATTTACTGTTCAAATCTAAGTCACATGTGATGAAAAGAAAAGAAAAAGACTTCTAAATGTGTTCCTATATGTAGCATATACTTTGTATGTCCTCAAGAAGATAGGAGCTAATGGCATTAGGTATGTTAGGGGCAGTAATGTCATTAAGAAAAATTACTTGTATTTCTGCTTATTTACATTTTTTGAAACATTGTATTATTGGCCCTGGGTCCTCAATAACCAACATAATCAGACTAATGATCTATTGGTTATAAAGGCAGTTAAAACTAGGGAATTAGTTGCCTTGTTTCCCTGACAGCCATATTATATAGCCTGGAATACCCCAGAAATGTGTGCCAGAGAGGTACATGTTCAGCAGCAACTTTCCCAAATAACAAGATACTGATAAGCCAGATTATAAAGCTCTGTGAGGAAGGTCTTACTATTTTGACATCCGCAAGTTAGCTTGAGAAATTATTTGTGTTAATAAGACCAAAATTTCTTATACATTATTTGAGGTCTGATTTAAAATTGCTAACATAAGTCTGCCTGTTGTTGTTTTTTTTTCCTTTTTCAGTCTCAAAAAATACTATGGTTTACTTGATGTGAGCATTTAAAAAAATGGTATTAATGACTTAGAACTGATGAAATACAGTAGTATACACTGGCTTATTTAGTTTTAACAATTTTTCCTAAAATGCCAGAGAAACCAAGATGAATTCCTGGGAAAATAAACATCTGCATTTAACTGCAAACAGTTGTGTCAATAATGTTGGCTTTAGGATTTGAAATGTTCCTGTCTGGGTTTTTGTAGGATCTGAGGGCACTTGCTTTGCTCCTGTCAGTACACACTCCCAAACAATTAAACCCAGCTCTGATCCCAACTCTGCAAGAGCTTTTAAGCAAATGTAGGACTTGTCTACACCAGAGAAACTCACTCCAAGAGCAAGAAGCCAAAGAAAGAAAAACTAAAGGTCAGCTTTATGGACTATTCATCTTCAGGGTTGGGGGTGGGAATAATACACTCATTTAGCTGACTTTATAATAGCCGTCTGTTCTGTTTTATTTTAGCCGTCTAAAATATCAGTGCTAAGAACAAAATTTATCTTCCCACAACCACCCCCCAATGTGATCTTAGTGACCCCCTCAGAGAATCTTCAATTTTGATATTTCTCTTCACAGACGATGAAGGGGCAACTCCTGTTAAGAGAAGGCGTGTTAGCATTGACGAGGAGCACACTGTAGACAGCTGCATCAGTGACATGAAAACAGAAACCAGGGAGGTCCTGACCCCAACTAGCACATCAGACAATGAGACAAGAGACTCCTCAATTATCGATCCAGGAACTGAGCAAGATCTTCCTTCTCCTGAAAATAGTTCTGTGAAGGAATACAGAATGGAAGTTCCATCTTCGTTTTCAGAAGACATGTCAAACATTAGGTCACAGCACACAGAGGAACAGTCCAACAATGGCAGATTTGAAGATTGTAAAGAACTTAAAGATCTCCACTGTTCCAAAGATTCCACCCTGGCTGAGGAAGAATCTGAGTTCCCTTCTACTTCTATCTCTGCAGTTCTGTCTGACTTAGCTGATTTGAGAAGCTGTGATGGCCAAGGCTTGCCTTCCCAGGACCCTGAAGCTACTTTATCACTCAGTTGTGGCCATTCCAGAGGACTCTTTAGTCACATGCAGCAACATGACATTTTAGATACTCTGTGTAGGACCATTGAATCTACAATCCATGTGGTCACAAGGATATCTGGCAAAGGAAACCAAGCTGCTTCTTGACATTAGATGTAGCATGTCTACTTTTAAGTCTCCTACCCACCCACCCACCCAAGCTGTTTGTATAAGTTTTGCTTATTTGTTTTTGTGCTTCAGTTTGTCCAGTGCTCTCTGCTTGAATGGCAAGATAGATTTATAGGCTTAATTCTTGGTCAGGCAGAATTCCAGATGAAAAAACTTGCATCTTCAGTATACTTTCTAAAGGGCAATCAGATAATGGATGTGTTTTATGTAATTAAAAAAAGTTCACTGTAGTGGCTTTCATTTAATATGGCTGTCTGGGAGAAGCGGGGTTCCCCAGCCCTGTACAATGTAATTTAAACTTACAGCATTTTTACTGTGTATAATATGGTGTCCTCTGTGCCAGTTTTGTACCTTATAATAGAGGCAAATTGCCTCCAATCGCTGTGGTTCTTATTATCAAAATTAAGTTTACTTGTATACGGAACAACCACAAGAAATTTGATTCTGTAAAGAATCCTCTTTAGCTGTGGCCTGGCAGTATATAAATGGTGCTTTATTTAACAGAATACCTGTGGAGGAAATAAAGCACACTTGATGTAAAAATAATTGTTTTATTTTTATTGACATGACTGATTGCTATTCTGTGCACTTAATTAAACTGATTGTGATGACTTTTCATTTGCTTCAGTCTTCTCCAATGAAAGTAATGCAGAAACTGAGTAGGGGAAGCACTTACCCTTTCTGCTGTGTTTCATTAGATTTAGTGGCAGTCGAAAACCGCAACTTACCCATAGATTTCTCAGTCTTCACCACAAAGTGCATAACTGTCACAGGGTCAACCAAGGAGGGCAGGGAGGGGTGTAATAATACAGCCAACCAGCCCATACACCAACATGCTTCTGAATACAACATGCCACCACTTGACTAAGCTATACACCTTAAAAACACTAAAAGGAACAGTATATCATGCCATTTATTTTTTATCTTCTTGAACTTAAAGTACAGCTGAAAGTAAGCTTGCTAGCACAAGCTTTAGCTTGAGAAACTTCAGCTATTTGCACGCACAGATTCAATCTACTTCCAGAGGAACATCTATAGAAAGTGAATACTTAATTCTGAGTTGCTAACTACTTTGAACTCAATGCAGAGTCTGAGTCAATGCTTTTAATTCTCTTCATGGATATCATCAAATATAAAATAAAGATTTTTTTTGAGGAAGAACTCACAAGAGGTAAACATGACACTTTCCATTAGAAAAAGTACCCTATAAAACCTACTTCAACCATTTAGGGTGATCAGTTGCAGTAAACCTTTTATTTCTTGAAAGTGCTGCTTCTGCCAACAGAATTTCATGTTCTCTTTACAGGTAGGAACTCCTTTACAGTCCAATTGTAATTCCGTTTGCTCTAGAGTAGGTACAAAACTCAGTGCTACTGTTGCATAGTGTTCTAGAAGAAAAACAGGAGCCTTATTACTGCATTAGGAAAAGGAAAATTTATACATACCAGCTTTAGTTTTCTGAACATTTATAGATGAAGGGCACATAACATACCTTCTGGCCAGTTTCTACATCTCCACTTCATGACGATCTTTCTATTTATTAACTGAAATCAAAGGGGAAATGTGACTGAGAACATTTTCAGTTGAAACCCCTAATTACTAGAAAAATCAGTGAACAGAGTCCCGATTTCTAGTTTACACGCCAGCACCACTAATGATCCATTGTCTGTACTGCCAAAATGTCTTAGAATAGCATTAACATCCAGTAAAGTACTGGTAGCCATAACAGGGCCAATGTCTAGGGTGAGGCAACTGACATTTGGCAACACAAACTTCAATGATTTTAGCGGCAGGAGAACAGCTTTTACATATATAAAACCTGAATTTCTAGGAAGAGCTGGGACTTGGACCTGTTTCTAGTAAAATCATAAGCATTTGCACAATTAATGAGAAACCAAAAGCATCTTTATTATTACTTAGTATAAAGTTCATTTAACAACTTAATATGAACATGTACGTGACCTAGTGAAACTAGCACTTTGGAGGGGAATGTGGATTTCTCTGCTGAACAGTCATTAAACTCTTTCCAAGGCTTCCAATATGATGATACATTTCCTCGTATAACCACCATTCCAATATTGTTCTGTTAGCCACTCACTGCCATCTCCACATGCTCATCTATCACTACAGTCATAACTTGAACATGTCTGCCACCATTTACTTTCAGTGACTCATGGTCATAAATATTTTCAGCTCAGGAGGGTGAGCTTTGCTCATGTTTACTCCACAGGCTCAGAGCTCCTTTAAAAGGATTATAAGTAACATTTTTAATTTTGCTTTACAACCAACTTTATAATGTTCTCAAGATTCTATGAGCTCAGATAAAAATCCAGAACAAGTTAAAAACAGTATGGACAGAGTAATACTAACCGAAGGAAGAGTTAAGCGCCAGCTTGGTTTTTTGTTTTTTGAGGTACTAGGGATTGAGCCCAGTACCTTCCCACTGGCATTACATCCCCAGCCCTTTTTCAAAATTTTGAAAAGCTAGGCATGGTGGGGCATGCCTATAATCCCAGCAGGCAGCAAGACTGCCACAAGTTTGAGCCCAGCCTGAACTACACATCGCGACCTTGTCTCAAAAACAAAACATAAAACAAAATTTGAGACAAAGGGTCTTACCCTAAGTTACCTAGGTTGGGCCTGAACTTGGAAATCCTCCTGCCTTCGAATCCCAGTGCTGCAATTATATGCCTGGGCCACCATGCCCAGCTGCCAGCTTACTACTTTTAACTGAAATTACTTACCAGTTCTATATATTCACCAGTGATGGTCCCATTAAACATTTGGAATTTCCCTCCCTTTTCAGCTTCTAATACAGCAGGAGATTTAGAAAATTTTTGCACCATCTAGCCAAGCAAAACAAACATGTTATTCCAACACATGCTACTGCTACCTTTCATGTGTGTAGGTATGCACATATGTGTGTGCTGAGGATCAAATTCAGAGCCTTGTACATACTAGGAAAGCCCTTAAGCTAAGAAACCACTAAGCTCCATCTCCACCCCTGTAAAGTACATAATGCAACAGTGTGGTTTTTTGTTTGCTTTTATCTTAGATATATAGCTTTTGCTTACACAAAAGCTTTCTCTTCCTAGAGGGAGAAAATTTGGTCAACTAATCCCCTCATTACTGATAAAGTCCCCAAAGCGCCCATCTTTGTTCACTGGAATTACTGAGAAGCTAAATTGACAGCACCATCCCAGAGCCCTTCAATCAACACCAAAACCCAGCTCTTCTTGTGGCACATCTTCCCCATTATCAGCATGTAGGGTCCTAGCTTGGGGACTTAACGTCTTTCACAGTGAAGATGCTGTAGAGCTGTTCCACTGTTGTATCAAACAGTTCTGTCATGTGCAGAGCCACAGTGGGAATCTTTACACCCAATGCCACTGGAGAGGAGGCCTGAATCTCAAGAAGACAAAAGGTTCCAGAGGACAGTTGAGGATACCAAGATTTAAGTCTTCTCAATAAAAGTGTCCCAGATTCCACCCTACCCCTTCTAGACATGAAAGCATCACGAAAAACCTTTTTTATTTCTTAGCTCCACCAGTCCTGGCCTTTGGGAACAAAGCTCACCGTTTCTAGCTCTTTAGTCTATTCCATTCACAGGCTATAGCTAAATTCCCCAATTCTAATTGAACAGGCAAATAAAGACTGGCAGGATGGAATGAAAGATGAGTCCACTTAAGGCTAATAGGTTTTAATTACACCCACATTCCTGGTCCCCAATTCCAAGAAGAGGATGTAAAATCTCCCAATCCCAAAGTTAAGAGAGAAAGTTCTTCCATTGTGATATGTGAGCGAGCCTCAGCTCCCTGGCTTTGTAATCTTGCCACCAAAGAACACTTCATTTACAGCAGTCTTGACTTAAATTCATTATTTAGCCCACAAAAGGGGGTTAATACATTTCCTTGCACAAAGAACAAAAGATTTAGGCTAGGGTTATAGGCTCAATACTAGAGCACTTGCCTAGCAGGCATGAAGCCCTAGGTTTGATCCCCAGCCCAAAATAAATCTTATTTATAATTTCTACAACAAAATGTGCAAATAAAGAATTATTACAGACGGGCCAGGCATTTAGCTCAGTGGTTTCGCCGCCTGCTGCACAAGCGCCAGGACCCAAGTTCGATCCCCGGTACCACAAA